TGACTCCCTGGTGAACCCACCCCCTACAACACTCCATGTTTGGCTCCTGTTGGGCTTTTCTTTTACTTACCTATAAGTGGTTACAAATGTTTGGAATTATTACAAAAGCATCATTTTATGGGAAAAAATACAGGATTGGGGGTATAGCCAGTGGTAGAACATAGGGGATGTTTTGTATATGTGAATTTCAATTTTTTTTGGCACTACTGGGATTTGAACTCAGTGCCTCACACTTGCTAGGCAGGTGCTTTACCACTTGAGAACTCTGCCAGTCCTGTTTTATGTTGGGTATTTTCTTTTCTTTTTTTCTCTTTCTCTCTTTCTTTGCAGTACTAGGGTTTTAACTTAGGGCCTATACCTTGAGCCACACCACCAGTCCTTTTTTTGTGACAGGTTTTTCAAGATAGGGTCCCTCAAAGTATTTGCCCAGGCTGGCTTCAAACCTCGATCTTCCTGATCTCTGTTTCCTGAGTAGTTAGGATTACAGGCATGAGCAACCGGTGCCTGGATATGAATTTCAAATTTAATCTAAGCTCCAGAGTAGAGATGATGTTTTATATTTTAGTCCCTCCCAGCTTTTAAAACAGTGCTTAATGCACAGAGGACGCTTATAAATACTTGGCCCATAATTCCATTATCTGTCCCAAGAGAAACTTGAAGGCCACGTCTCTTGTAACCCTTATTTCAATGGTGGACAACATTGATAGTTACTCATTCAAAAACAGTTAAATAATGAGGACACAAATACATCTTTTTATTTTATTTTATTTTTACAAATACATTTCCTAATGAACAAACCAGGTCCTTTCTACCAACACCGATGCCCATGTAGAATAGTAGAGATAAAAGCAATGACCTTCATAGAAAAAATTATCATTCCTTCACATTCTCTTATTTAAGTTAGAGACCTGAAATAACTTTGAATAACACTCAAATAGTGGCAATGTGCTATCATTTTCCATTGTGCTTTTCTCTCCTCTTTGAATGAAGGTCCATCTGTGGCATGCTCACTAGCACTTGACATAAATGTGGATGGCACTCACATTTTTTTGAATCAATATTTTTCAGAATATAAAATTACTTTTTCTTCCTTTTTTTTTTTTGGAGGGTGCTGCAGATGGAACCCAAGACTTTGTATATAGTAACACACTCTACCTCTGAGCTCTACCCCCAGTTCTGTATTTTTTTTTCCCCTTAAAATGATGCTTTTGTAATGATTCCAAACATTCCTACCTACTTACAGATAAATAAAAGCCCAACAAGAGCTTAGTCCCAAGTGCTGTAGGGGGTAGTGGTGCCAGGGGGTCAGGCAGGAAGTCTGCTCAGGAGCTAAGGTTCTGACACTCCAAACCATGATTGCTGTCCACCAATGAGTGAAATCTCCAAGGTCAGGCACTCTCAACCCAGAGACTGATACTGAGTCAGAACTCTATATAGCTGTTGAAAAGATGGGACATGAGCTGGGCACCAGGGGCTCTTGCCTGTAACCCTCGCTAATTGGGAAGCTGAGATTGGGAGGATAGAAGTTCGAGGTCAATTCAGGCAAATAATTCATGAGATACCCTACCCTCCATCTCCAAAATAACCAGAAAAATGGACTGGAGGTGTGGCTGAAGCAGTAGAGCAGCTGCTTTGCATGTACAAAGCCCTGAGTTCAAACCCCAGTCCTACCAAAAAAAAAAAGATAAAGGAAAGAAAGGACAGGACACTTGGAAGTTAAACTGGCTATGATGCCTCCTTCCCTTAGTGACTGAAGTGGTAAAGAGCTACTCTGTTAGTGCAGCCTTCCCTTTTCTCTGGCCACAGTGACAAAGCAGGTGGTGGTGACACTAGGGCTGGTCACTGATAGCCTGATAACCTTCACCTACTATAGTACCTGGTGATTCTGCCATTTGTGGACCACCAATGTGTCATCCACAAGTACTTCCTGCCTTGAGCCTACAATGTCATCATCCCACTGACCATGGGCCTATTCATCACCTACAAGATGCTGAAGAACCAGAGGGTGACCAAGAAGGTTCAGTGAAAGCTCAGCAAGGAAGAGGCTGCCAGACCCTCTCTACCTCCCTTCTAGGGCAGGGACCAAGGGCTGGAGCCTACAGGACAGTCCAGACCTGGTGGCTCCTCCAGACTGACTGTCTTACATCTCTTTTTGGGAGATGGGGCTGCTTGAGTCACCGCTGATGGACTGGAACCCCTCTTTTCCTGCTCCCCCTTCCAGAAGCCAGGGAGGGAAGAAAGGGAAGCCTTCCTCTCACCCCTTTTCTGGCTGAGGTCCTGAATGATACTGGTCCTGCCAACTTCGGAGCAGACTCTGTTACTACTTCCTCTAGGTTCTACCCTTTTGCATGCTTTCCTCCTGTCACAGGTTGATGTTTGGACATAGCAGGTTCTGAGAGAGCATGTGACCGTGCCTCCTCTCCCCACAAGTCCCAACCTTCAACACAGGCAACTCTTCTGAGACTGATAGAGCCAAACCTCAGAAGGACTTTTGGACCTGGAAAGTCCTTGGAAAGGACTGACAGACCCCAGGACACTAGAGCAACTACATGAGTCCCAGACCAAGTGCTCCTTGTGGAGGCCTGGTTCCCCAGGCCCAGGGCTGGCCTGTTTGGGAGAACTTAACTATGAATGTTGATTGTGAAAAGAAAAAAAGAAAGCCCAACAAATTGTTTAAAAGTTTTTTGTATTGTGCCATACAAACTGTTTTCATACACAAGTGCATAAGTGAAAAATTTCTCCCCTTCCTCCCCAAACATTACAGTGGACTAATTTTTGCTAATATATCATAAAATCTATGTCCCCTTCTGAATTCTGAACAGCTGATTCTAAACACCAGCTTCTGCATCTGGTAATTTACTAATCTGGTTTGGAATGAATGATTCCAGTGCCTTTCACCTTGTCCCTGAATTTTTCTCTCTTCAAAGTTCCAGGCAGTAATTGATTTTAATGCCCTCAAGTTGGATAAAGCTGATTATGTAGAGCTCGTAAATTACCTATTTTATATGATCACTAAGAATAGAGCTGTGACTTACACATATTTTACCCCTGAAACTACCTAGCACCATAGATAGAATTCTCATCTCAATATTAAGGGACTAGTTCCCAAAGGATCAGATACATGACAGTGATAGACTTTAAAACACTATTTTGCTTATATATAAAATACAAATTCCCTTATGTCTGACAGATCTTTCCTCCTGGCAATGTTCTCTACTGCCTTGATTATTTTGAATAAATATATTTCTTGCTTGATGTTAATGACAATTCTGTAGGTCATTACTAATGAGCAGCTAAGGCAATTAAACTGAAAAGGCTCTAAACTACTTTAAATGGATGACATATTGTTAATCAATAGAATTGCACTGTATTTCTTTTCTCCTTTCATGCTTCTCCAAAGTGCTACAGTTCCTATGAGATTTCTGTCCTACACAGACTCAAATTCTGGGTCTTTCACCTTGAGTATATAAAACATAATTTGTTTGGTTGCAAAAATGTTTTCAGGAATTTCAAAAGGTTCCACTATTCAGATGTTTTTGGCAGTCCCTGTTCTTTAAAGCTAGACCATATGCCATTAGTTTACAAAGAAAAACACAATAACCCTATCCTCCTGCCTCTAATTGAACAATGGAAAATAGTAAGTTGAGCTGTGGGCTTTTTTTTTTCCCCCAGTACTAGGGCTTGAACTCAGGGCCTTCACCTTGAGCCACTCCTCCAGCCCTGTTTTTGTGAAGGGTTTTTTGAGAGGGTCTCGTGGAACTATTTGCCCAGGCTGGCTTCTATCCATGATCCTACTGATCTCTGCCTCCTAAGTAGCTAAGATTACAGGCATAAGCCACCGGCACCTGGCTTTGAGCTGAGGGCTTTTTAACAAGTGCTACACAAAGTCATCTTCTAAGAGTTTAAAGTGGACACAAACATGGCTTCAGTGGCATTTAATATTCCATACAGGAGGCATGACTCAGCACTTCTGCCTTTATTCTCCACTCACGACAAGTTCAGATATCAAAATCATTCTAATCCTAAAACAGAGAATGCAGTATCAATATTTAAAGCTGTTTCTCCCTAGGAATACTTCTCAACTAGTACAGGGAGCAAAATAGTAGTATTCTCTTAGGCTAAACTTTGTCAAGGCTCAGACAACCCTGAGGAGAACTTAGTAAGGTCCTCGGAAGGTAATCTTCAGATTACAAACCCAATATACATATGTGAATATTAAAGCTTCAAGACTGACCCATCAAACAGAAATACCATAGACATTCTTAGAACATTGAGTCTAGTGACTGTTGAGATCAAGGAGGCACATACACAATTTTACTCCAACCCCTGATGTTTCTTCTATGGAAAATGCAGTCAATTTCACAAAGTACTTAAAAATCATTATGCCAGACCTACCTATTCCAAAGAACACAGGGAAGGCAAGCCGAAGCACTAGGAAACAACTGGTATATATGTAATGGTGTGTCCATCTGTGGGAAAAAATAAACTTGTACAAGGCAAGGGCTGTCCCAACTAAGGATTTAAAAAAGAGTTTAGTGATCCAGGAATGGTTCCCAAGTGTTTACCTTCAAGGGTAAAAAGACAGGCAAAGCCCTCAAAAGAAGAATAAAAGAACCTCCTCATTCCATTTTTTTCTTCTTTGCTTCTGTCCCAGAAGCATAGAAGCATATTTGGGTCAAATATGCACATCTCAGAAATGCCAGGAATGCTGTTCCAACCCTATGTTTTTCTAGCTGAGTCCCCCCTGGGCAAGTGTAAAGCCTGATTTCCCCAAATCTCATCACTCCATAATCTGGAACAGGAGTCAGTTCCACAGCTCTTTGCTGAACTTTAGCAGTGGTTTCCCTATTCAATTTTTGTTCTGTTGCCAGGAAGTGCAGTGTAAACACACTAGACTGAGCCCTTCTGTGAGACAGTCCCAGAAACAAGGTGAAGGATAATGGGGAGTGTAGGGCACAAAATTCCTCTGTGAACTTAGTCAAATACACATGGCATATAAATTCTCCTGGGTATAAACAATTTGCACTAGTTAATTGATACCAGCAACACAACCCCAAACAATGATAGATCAAATTCTAATGTGACAATTTAAGCAGACAGTACTCCACTGGGTTAATAAATCAGAATCAACTAAGAGACAATATTTTAAATAGCACATCATTGAGAGCTCCTAGTAGACGTAGCCCCTCATCAGTTATATTGGTAAGAACGGTCATAACAGCAGAAAGAGCAGATGCCATGCTCACTATTGCATGTCACTGGACTGCTTTGATCAAGCACTGCAGTTCACTGACGGATACTTCACATCCTCCCTCAAGTTACTGAATCTTTCTTCTTCCGGAATGGTGATTTTAGCCTCTTCCATACACTGCTTTTGGGTTTAGATTTTTTCTCCATGGCCAGTACTGCTTCCTTTTCTTTCCGACGTATCTCCCGCACAAGAGCATGGAAAACATCATCAATGTAGTAGCGGTATGCAGCAGAGGTCTCAAAAAAGGGACAGCTGAATTCTCGGGCCAGAGCCAATCCTTCTTCCTTGGTAACCTTCAAAAACATAAGCATGAGAAAATTTATAGTGGTATAAATTTTTTTTTCAAGTGCTGAGGATTGAATCCAAGGTCTTATACATGCTATACAAACCTTCTACCACTGAGTTATAGCCTCAGCCCCTCTTTTCTCTCTCTCTTTTTTAATTTTTTGGTGGTACTAGGGGTTGAAGTCAGGGCCTTGTGCTTGCTAAACAAGTGCTCTACCACTTGAGCCACTCCACCAGTGATCCCGGCCCTTATCCTTTTTGGAAAACACATCAAATAGACATGGATATCAATATGCAATCTTAATTTTCTTCATACTTTTCATTTTAAGAAAGAAAAGCATGGCTGGGCACTGGTGGCTCATGCCTGGAATCCTAACTACTTGGGAGGCTAAGATTGGGAGGATCTTGGTTTGAAGCCGGCCCAGACAAATAGCTCTCAAGACCCAATCTCCAAAATAACCAGAGAAAAACAGACTAGAGGCGTGGCTCAAGCAGAAGAGTTCCTACTTTGCAAGTGCAAAGCCCTGAGTTCAAACCCTAGTCCCATTAAAAAAAAAAAAAAGACAGAGCAGCATATATATTACTAAACACTATTAGGAACACAAAACTGATTTGTCCAATTGTGGATAATGCTGTAACCTCTTCTACTTTTGGATAGTGAGACTGTTTCTCATTTTCTATTACCGTAAATGGCCCAGCAATGAGCAATTTATATATAAGTCCCTAAGGAGGTTTTTCCAGTGGTTTAGCTGACAAGCATCAAGAATTTAACGACTGCCAAGCTACTCCTGCTCATTGCTTCCACTACTAACCAGCAGTCACGAATGTGTGCGCGTTCACTTTACCCTTGCTGCTCCACCAATCAGAAAAAAAAGATTTTGTTTGTTTGTGTTGGAGACAGATCTTGGTACACAGTTCAGGCAGGCCTCAAACTTATGATCCTCCTGCCTCTACCTCCTGAGTTCTGGGATTACAGGTATATACCATTACGCCTGGCCTGGAAGGGTATAACTTACTCTAAAGTCCTCTACAATATCTTAGTGTCCTCTTCCTGGGCTAACGATCCTTCATCATCAGGAAGCATACCACAAAGACTCACTGAAGTTTCTCCTGTTGCAGCATAAACAGATTTATTTCTGAAGTTTTAGGAAATGAACATTTCATGACCCTTCTCTTAATGGGAATTCTACTTATCATCTCATTATAGTCCTGTGGGTTCTGTCCAGTAAACTGAGTTCTAAAATCCAGATTTTATCCATAACAGTTGCAAATTAGTAGATATAGGGAAATTGTCATAGTTAGGGAGGAGTTAATTTTGATTTTCTATTTTAAGGCAAAGGAATCTGTAAAGAAACAGAAGTGACTAATAACACAAGATTATGGACATTTCCTTTTTCCTCACCTGTCTTAGCTGTTTTAGATCAGACTTGTTTCCTACAAGGACCACAGGTGTATCATCAGTACGTCGAACTCGATAAATAAGCTGTTTAAATTCCCGAACTTCATGGAAACTTCGGCGATCCGTGATAGAGTAACAGATGATAAACCCTTCTCCTGCCCTCATGTACTGATCACGCATGGCTGTAAACTCTGCCTGGAGGGAAACAAGGGTCAATACCAAATTGATGCAACTTAGAACTATATACATTTGTTATTTATTTTAGATTAAAGAAGTGGTATGTTGATTACCTGCTATCCTGAGTCAGAGTGCATGAAAAATTAAGAGAGACAAACTAGTGATCTTCTCTGTATAAGCCTTACCCTCCATTTTACTAGACTGGAAAAGTCTTTTGTCCTAGCACGTATCGTTCTCGGATTTAATACCTGTCCAGCTGTATCCAAAATGTCCAGATTGGCGGGCTCATCATCAATACGGATCCGGATTTTATAAGCATCTTCTACAGGAGGGAAGAAAGGTATACTGTAAAGCCAAGCATGCAGGAAATACCTATTTCAAAACTCATCTTAATGAAACCCCCCACAGTATACAAAATATTCACTAATGAAAAAGGGTGGAGTGGGGATGGAAGCATGGCTAAAGTGGTAGAGCACCTGCCTAGCAAATCTAAGGCCCTGAGCTCAAATCCCAGTAGCGCCAAAAAAAGAACGGTGGGGCTTCTTTGTGCAGTGGCTCATATGCCTGTAATCCCAGTTACTTCAGAGGCAGAGACACAGAGACAGGGGATCTTGTTTCAAGGGCAGTTCAGACCAAAAAAGCAGGAAAAGAACAAAGACAAAAAACACATCTAAGGAAAAAGCTGATTCCATTTAAGTTCTTTCTTTCTTTTGTCTTTAAAAAAAAAAAAAGCTATATTTAATTTTTATACCCCCCACACAGAAAATACTTGAGAAACATCAAAACAAAATTATGTACTGACTGACTTTTTACAGTGCAAAGAGTTTTCTTTAGGCAAAATTATTTAAAGTCAATAATTTTTATTTAATAATGATTTATTTCCTACATGTTGTGATGGGTTCATTGCACATTTAGGTCACCTCTAAAACTGAAGTTATGATTCTTCTTCAAGATACCACTTTTTAAAAGATCTGATGCTCAGCTGGGCACCAATGGCTCACGCCTATAGTCCTAGCTACTCAGGAGGCAGAGATCATGAGGATGGAGGTTCGAAGTCAACCCCAGGCAAATAGTTTGCAAGACCCTATCTCAAAAAAACCCATCACAAAAAGTGCTGGTGGAGTGACTCAAGATGAAGGCTCTGAGTTCAAAACCTAGTACAGTAAAAATCAATCAATCAATCAATAAAAGATCTGATGCTTAATCCAGCCCACACTTCTTTTATTTGGGCTTCTTTTTTTTTTTTAACTTGGGCCACTTGAATTATTATTTGTTATCTCCACTTTAATTATCACTTTATCTCCACTCAAATTATTATACCACTTGAATTGCAGAGCTGAATTACTGATGACAACTTCAAAATTCCCCTTCTGAGATCTTTGAGATCAAATTTCTTCAAGCAATTTAGTTTTGGATCACTTTTAGAGGAGTTGGATCTGGCTGGTTGTCAAATGCTGAGACCCCACTTCTCTGACATGAATGAGTTCAGGTCATATTCATTCCTCTATTACATTCAGGATATGTGGCATATGCCAATACTACATTTAGACAAACATGATCTACTCACAGTAAGACACATCTTCAACTCCAGATCTCAATTCTCAAATTAGAATCCTTAATGGTTATCAATACCCCCATCACTTTAAGCTGTGTTAGATGTCATACTCTTTCTTATATGTATCAAAATCATACTGAACAATGAGTTCTGGGTTGAAAAAAAGGATTTTGTTTTTGTACCTGTCTATGAGTCTTTGTCCACAAGTTAAACAAAATCACACACAACTGCTATCTTTTTTTTGGTGGTGCTGGAGATTAAACCCAAGGTCTCTCATATGAAGAGCCTCACACAGACATCAGACAAGGCACTGAGTTATATCACCATCAGCTCCACCCAAGTCCTTTTCTTTTTTTGCAGTATTGGGGTTTGAACTCAGGGCCTCATGCTTGGTAAGTAGGCACTCTGCCACTTGAGCCACTCCGCCAGCTCCCTTCACCCAAGTTCTTTTAAGTGCCCAAATTTTATCAGGAAGCATTTTAAATCCATTGAGATAAGTAAACTGGGTTGTCAACTATGGTTTTACCTTTTATTTACTTATTTGCACAATGGGGGCTTGAACTCAGGACCTACACCTTAAGCCTCTCCACCATCCCTTTTTTGTGATGGAGGGTCTCATGAACTATTTTACCCTGGCTGCCTCCTTAGTAAGCTAGGATTACAGCCCAGTCTTTAAGGTTTTACTTTTTTCATATAGGCAGTAATGTAGTTTATTCATAGCTTACATTTATAAGACTTTACCTATAATTCTAAGCTAAAAAAGAATTTGGCTAGAAAATAACTATCAGTTAATAAATTTATTGCATGCTAGGCATTGTACTAAGTAATTTATATACATTAACTCAATCAATAAAATAATCCACAATTATTTCCATTGTACAGAGTAAGAAAATTAAATTCTACCTGTCACCACGGGCCAACGCCAGTAATCCTAGCTACTTGGGAGGCTGAGATCCAGAGGATAGAGGTTTGAGGCCAGTTCAAATAGTTAGAGATCCCATCTCCAAAATAACCAGAGCAAAATGGACTGGAAGTGTGGTTCAAGTGGTAGAGCACCTGCTTTGCAAGCAAGAAGCCCTGGGTTCAAACTCCAGTCCCACCAAAACAATAAATTACAAAAAAAAAAAGAAAATAGCATGAAAAGGAAGGGCGATGCCAAAGGCTTCACATTGCATTGGAAAATTGTGTAAGGGAGTATTTTAGAAAGAACAAGACAGCAGAGGCTCTGTTTTCCTTTCTTAATTTTTTCTTTCTGTTATCTTTTGAAAGTGAGGCTATGTGGTCTAAGAGATTAGAAGCATTAAGGAAGGGGTGTGCTTAGGTCAGTAGGCAATAGGTGTTCTTTTTTTTTTTCAGTGCTGTGGATCAAACCCAGGTCCTTGCACACACTAGGCAAGTGCTCACCACTGAGCAAATCCCAGCCCTTGGTTATTTTGAGACAGGGTCTCACTATATAGCCCAAACTGGTGTCAAAGTTGTGATCCTCCTGCCCCTACTACCTGAGGGCTGGGATTAAAGCTGTGTGCCACTGAACCTGGTCTCCTTTATGTATATTACTATAGTAATCTCGGAAAACACAGAAAAGTGAAAAGAAAAAGAAAAGAAAAAACCTCACTCACTATTTTCATCACTCAAAAACAACTGCCACTTACATTCCAATGTATTTCTTTTAAGCATTTTTTTGGGGCTTTTTTTGTGGTACTAGAGTTTGAACTCAGGGCTCTGCACTTGCCTAGCAAGTACTACCTCTTGAGCCACGCTTCTAGTCCTAACATTTTTTCTTGAATCCCTGCATCTGACTCTTCTTCAAAGATGAAGAGCCTATTAAATCAATGTATCTCAAACTATAGGTTGTGCTCCATTAGGACTATAAGTTTTGAAATCAACTTAATGGGTTGGGACCAACATTAAATTTTAATTTCAATTATATATGTATACTTTTGTATAAGTATACAAATACATATATAGGTAACTTTGATATTTATATTTATTCTGGTTATAATGAAAAGGTTTTGTTACAGTTTATAGCCAAAATTGAAATAAAGAAAAAAAATTGAAATAAAATGCATTAATTTATTTTAATTATATATGCATGTGTTTATTTATTTTATTAATTTATTTTAATTAATTTAAACAGACACCTTATCTTTTTGCTTAAGCAAAAAGATGTGGTTACCAAGGTCTACCACAGTGTTTGGCAAACAACTCAAGACACAGTATTTGTTGTTGAATCATATAATATTGTCAGCAAAGTAACTGAACTAATGGGGGAGTGGGGAAAACAGACTGATTAAAGAAAGTGTTACAGGGCTGGAGGTGTAGAGTATTTGCTAAAACACACAAGATCCCAGGTTCGACCCCAGCACTGAAAAAAAAAAAAAAGGACCTCTTACAGATATGAGTTTTACTTTAAAAAAAAAAGGAAGGGATGTTTCTGGAGTTCTTAAGTAAATGATCCTAAACTCTAAACTGATTTTACTCATAGAACTCCCATCATAGTTTGAATTCTTGAGCAACATTCTAAATTTGATATAGTAGAGCTGGTGGTATAGTTCAGTGGTAGAGGCCCCGGGGTTAGATCTCCAACATGGCGGGGAACAAAAGGCCAGGCATGGTGGCTTCTATCTGTAATCCCAGCATTTGGGAGGCAGAGGCAGGAAGATCTTGTGTTCAAGGCTAGACTTGGCTATACAAGGAGATCCTGTCTCAAAAAAGCAAAAAGCAAAAAATGTCTGATACAGTACATTATAAAAACAAGTACTACTTCTATTTTCCCAAATCTACATAAGCACACACTGCATGAAATGAACATGTCCAAAGCTGGGCTACCATAGAACACTCACTGTCTTTGTAGAAAACAGAGCAGAAGCCTGACCCAAAGGAAATCCTGCCCAGAAATCCAATATCATGGCAGAGGGCCACTACTGAAAATAACAGTAGTGCAGCAGAGTTACTACTGTTCACCCCACCTTTCTTCTACACTAGAACATACCCTAGAATAAAACCCGCTTCCTTATGATCTAAGAAGGACAGTAATACTGTTAGTCTTTGTAAAGATAACAATTAAGAAAATAAACCCACAGCAAACAAAATGACCTTTTTACTTTACTAGAGTATTCTGTCCACAAGGGAGAGGGAGAAGACATTTCTATATAATGAACTTCAGGTATAAGGAAGTAAATAAAGTGCTTCAAGTGGAAGACGTCCAGGCCCTCCATGCCTGGGTTGTTAAAGAGTTCAGTAGGCTGGCTCTACTTGTTTTTCTGCTTCCTTTTGTGGAAGTTCAAACCAGCTGACTCATACTCACAGAGTTTCAAGTCAGACCCTTAGAACTGATAGCATGAAAAAGTTTCATTTTGTGGCCTGTAAGCTTTTACCAACCACAAAAAACATGACAAAGAAAGTTATTCCATTAATGCTTAATCTAAAACGATATGCTTAAGCTTTGTACATAGAGTTAAAGTCTGGAAAAATGAAATAATTGTTTACCAACTGCTATGATACACTTGTTTCTAAATAAATCTGAACTAGATGCCAAAAAAGGCTCAAATATACTTAAAAATCATTTTTTAAAATTGACATTCACCCTAGCTGGGCATGGTAGTGCATTCTTGTAATCTCAACACTTGGGAGGCTGAGCCAGGACCATCACAAGTTTGAGGCCAGCTGGGGTAGTAAGATCCTGTCATAAACAACAGGACTGGGAGTATGGCTCACATGATAGAGCACTTGCCTAGAAAGCCTGAGGTCCAGAGTTCAATCCCCAGTATTGCCAAAAAAAGAAAAAACAACAACAAAAAAGTGACATTGAGATACTTAAAAAAAACCCAAACTGAATGCTTAATGCATTTGTAGGAATAGAAGGAATGTAATAGGATTATATTTGTACATTAGACATCTATGTAAAAGATGTTTCATTTTTCAAAGAAGTGTTTCCTATTTCCATCTTTTCCATATTCCTCAGATCAATAAATGGCAGTTATTACTCTTACGGATAAAATGCTCCACTGTGTTTGACATACAGCAATTATATCCTTGTGTTTTACATCCTTATTAACTGTGCTGTTTCACAGTAAAATTTACTCCACTCAAATTAAAAAGGCCCTAGAGGAAATAGCAGTGAAATTCATGTGAATGAATGCTAGAAGCCCAAGGATTTTAGGTACTGGCACAAACAGCAATAATAAAAATGAAAGCTATTTTAATGAAAAAGGAAGTAGGAATGAGGTCATTAAATATAACTAAGTGCATTTAAAATATAAATACCATGCATTTCCTGATTAGTATCAAGTAAATATCTAAACTGTCTAGAATTCCAGTCTTAGAGAAAAAGGTCAGAGACAATTACAAAGAAGGTGCTTCATATTATCAGGTCCATTTTAAAACCATTGAGATCCCTGGAGAAAATCACATTAATCTTTCTTTTTATCAGCAATTTCTGTTGGTCCTTTTGTTGGTAATCCATTTGCATTCTACTTTGCCTGTATTCTACTGTATCATTGGATTGTTGCAATGGCTTTTCTAGACCACACATGACCAACGAAAGGGGAAACCAGAGGGTATGTATGGCTCCAGGAACTGTTTGAAGATCCAAAGCAGAACTGGAATGCCACTATCACAAGCTTGAGCTCCTAAAACGAAACCCAAAAGGCAATGGCCATACTGCCCACTGAGATACTTTTACAGGGTGTATCTGGAGACCTACTGAGGATCTGACTTACCAATGGTGGGGTCATGATCTTCTGGGAATCGGTGGCTGATGAACTGCATGGTCATGGCTTCAAAACAAGAAATAAAAGTTAAAGTCCTCAGGAAGGTGACCCACAGAAAGAATTTTAAGTAGCAACTTTGGCAGTAGCCAGGTCCCATTTGGAGTGGGTAGAGTCACTTATCAAATGGAAAATGTCACGTACCACTCTTCCCCACACCACCAGCGCCCAGCATCACTAGTTTGTACTCCCGTGAGAGCCCCGCAGAGCTGCTACAGCAGCTGGCAACTGGTCGAGCTCCAGACTCCATTGTCCTCTTGGGGAATCCTGGGCCACCTAGAGAAAACAGAAACTATTTAATACAAGATGGAAACACCTTGACAGTAGTCCTGGAAGGCCCTATCTTCCCACTGGGTGCCGAACCCTTTCTGGCAGCCGTAAGGACCCCCACGTCCTCACCCTCTCTTAGACCTGTGACACATTACAGGTTTTCGGACTTTTTCCAGAAAAATAAGAAAACAAAGAAAGGTAGAAGGCTGGAGGCATGGTTCAAGCAAAAGAATGTCTGTCTGGCAAGGTGAAGCCTTGAGTTCAAGCCCCAGAACAGGAAAAAAAAAAAAAATTATTTTGCGAATGAGGCACCAGCCCAGAAGGGAGGAGCAGCGGTTGAGGTCTGAGGATCAAAAGACGGCCGCCCTGGGCCACACAGTCCTCTCTTCTGACCGTCCATCCGTCCTCTGTGCCGGAGGTCCCGCCCCTTCCCCGTCCCCAGACCCCTCCCTGCCCGCCCACTGCTCCTCCGCGTCACCATGCGCCCCACCTGTAGGCCGCCCCGTCCGCTGGCACCCCGGATCAGGAGGGTCCCGCCGTCCGACTGCCCTGTGGGGTCGCCGGGCTCACCGGGAGGCTGCGGCTCTGACCTGTGACCCTGCCGCGCCGGGTAAGATGGCGCCAGCAGCACCCTGTCCCTGGGAGGGGCAGGGCCGCCCAGTGACGCCCGCGGCCGCCCCGCCTCCCCAGGGCGGGGCACCTCCCCTTCCAGGTCCCTAAACCCAGTTCCGTGGCTCCAGGGAAAGGGAACTACAGAATGTTACCTCAAGAGGCAGAGGGTAAATTTATCAATGGCAGATGACATAGGGAACTCTAATGAGAGTAATTTAGGGACTTTTGCTGCTGGTGGGAAGAAATATTAAAAAAAAAAAAATTTGGCCAAATTTAATCCCAAAACGGAGGAAATGATGGGCAACCAAGCTTACCACCACCTCAGACACTACCAAAACACAGGACTGAAGTTCAGGGAGTGATTGGTTCCAAGTATAGCTTTTATTTCCCAAAGTGCAAGGCACTCCAGTCAGTAACCTTAACTGAGCATATTTTAGTACATATGAAAAAATGTTTTTAAATAAATGTACTATACTCTGGTGGGAGAGGATAAAATTCAAGAGCTTGTAAGTAGTCTTGAACTAAGCACAACAGTATACAGGCACTATAGTTTATTCATTCTAGGTGGCACACACAGCTACTAGAAACTTTACACTGGTATTTTCCTGATGTAACTTCTGTCCATCATTCTTTTTAAAGAAAGGCCTTTCCAAGAATAATTTACATTTCCCTTAAACTATCTTATCTACTCAGCACTTTTAATACTTTGTGAAAAGAGGGCTTTCTTGAAAATGAAAACAAAGCCAGATATGGTGACTGTAAACCTAACTACTCCAGAGGTGCAGGCAGGAGGATCTGAGTTCCAGACCTGCCTGGTCAAAGTTAGCAAAACTCTATCTCAAAAACAGGAAGAAAAAGAAAAGGACCAGAACATAGCTCATGTGGTAGAGTGCTTATTTAGCACACATGATGCTTTGAGTTCGATTCCAAATACTGAAGGAAATCTAGCATAAAATTTTCATTTGGACTTTAAGGGCATGCAGAACCATACGTAAATGCTGGAGTCCATGTCACTTTTTCAGGTGAGGTTATAACTGCATTATGCTATGAGTAAAAAGCATTAATTTTAGTGTATGGATGGGTTGTGGACGAAAAAGAACAAACCACAAGCAGATTATTTATACATTTATTTATAATGAAATTATGGTCTAATTATTTACAACATATAGGAAACCAGAGGATAATTTTGTACAAAGCCAGCCTGCAAAGTATTCAAATGTGCAAAAATGACAGTTCAGTATCTCAAACTATTCCTGGTTCAGCAGACTAGCTTCTTCACTTTCACACATCAATATTTGATACAAAAAAGTTCTTTTGGCAAAACCTGTAATGCCAAGAAAAAAGGACAAGTTGCAGTTTCAGTCACTAAGTCCACCATCCTATTGAGTGTAGTCAAATCTCTCTATTTTGGTCACAACCAGTTCTTAGAGAGACAGACCACTGTGTTTCACTTCTGTGACGAGTTCTGACCAGCTTTTAAAAAATCAAGTAGTTTTCTCTTACCCAGCTGAAGACAAGGAGCTTAGAAAGGCAATAAAAACAGCAATGGCTATCTGAGACAAATGTGCCTTATTAAGGTGCCAGCTTTGATCATCCCAATAAAAAGATACAATGAAAAAATAACTTCAGTTTTCTATTCAGAATCCAGGTGCATCTGGCAATTTTAAATTAGTAAAACATTTTCCAAAACAGAAAGAATCCAAACTGAAAAAGGGAAGAGGATCTCTTAGAACTGTAAGTACTGAAAGGATGCTCTTAAAAGTATTTCCTTACTAATAAATAGTAAGGATTTGTTTGTAACCAGTTACTATTAAAATTGACCCAATAGTAGTAAAATACAAATAAAACTTTCTATCAGAGTTGAGGCTATTCACTTGGAAAAGGCCAGAACCAGGTCAAACATATACAGGAATAACCTCTGCTGGGATGCTTTGTTGGACAAGCACATTTTACCAACTGTTAAAAAGCTTGAGACAAATTTGTGATTCTAAGTAAATTTCAACAGATGTTATGCCACTGCAGAAATAAGAATGTTTAAAAAAGAATGGAACCCCTTTTAAGAAAGGAGACACTGCATCTCTAACTTCTGTAAAGGTCCACAATGGCTCCCGGTACAGGCCCCAACAGTCTTGTTAAACCAAATGCATGCATTATTGCTACGAAGAATCACCGAGGGTCAAAACTCTGTTCCACCGTTTCCTATGGGGCCATCCAGAATGGCATCTGTTGTTTAGCTCGTGGTTGTGATGAAGGGTATTGATATCCCAAACTCCAGCCCTGTGGAAAACTACTTGCATTTTTATGACCTCCGTGTTCCTCCTCTTCATCAGATGAATCTGCAGCATAAGCCACTAAGCCAAATCCTTTCTCTGTAGTTTTCATTTTCTTCGCTGGATAATCTAAAATAGAGAAAAACAACCCCAACCCCATTCCCCACAAAGAAAAAAAAAAAAAAAAAAAGATAATACCATAAATTCGTTAATAAAAAAAAGATGTTAATTGTAAGTGGTTAGTTGGACACCATTTTGAGGTCACAGGGTCAATGGTCACCCAAAAACGTTGAAGATCACACGAAAAACAGCACCAGCATCAGCAAATGTGAATCCACCAGAACCATGTAAGAAAACAGAGAAAGAAAAAAAACACAAAAAAAAAAAAAAAAAAAGAAAAAAGAAAAAAAGGAAAGTTAGCAAGTTAAGTCTCTAGGGGCTGATATTTCACCTTTTAGAGTTAAAAGAAAAGAAGAAAAGAAAAAAAACCCTATTTTTTCTTCTGCTCATTTTTATTATGACTGCAGGCAAAAGACAAAAATGACCCCATGCACCACTACAGGATTTAGAGTTCTGCGATGCCATTAACAGCCACAGACTAGAAAGGGAGATGTGACTCAGCTCCCAACGCAGAGGAAAACCAACCTTTATTAAGTCTGTATCATTTTACTTCCAGGTAGTCTGACAACATAGGCAACAGAATTTTGAAATGACCTACCAATCAATAGTATTTTAAAGTCACTGATGCTATGCATAAAACATAAGGTGACTGACTTTCTAGTCACATGGTTGAAAATAAAAAGGCTGTCTAACTACATGCTGTCCTTATAAATAAATTTAAAAAAGTGTTCTCATTAGCCAGTAGATTATAGAAGTTGGATTAAATACCTGAATGAACATCAGGTTAGAAAACTAATAGCTTAAGATCCGTCCTATTCAGTCACTCCCTTATTCCCCCAGCTACACCTTACTCACCGTGGCTCCCTGTTAAGGTCCCAGACCCATTCCTTTCATCAGACTCTGTTTTTATTCCAGTCACTGGAAAGGCTGGTGGAGGCATCAACTGCCTATTAAAAGACAATAAAATTTTCTTTCAGACAAATTCAATTTTTAACTTATCTGATAAGTAACAATAAAATAAAGCCTGCAAATAATCCTGTAAATCACTTTACCCATTAATTTCAACTCTTTCCATCTTTCCCCCTAATCACACTCTCTTCATGCTATTATCAAGCAAGTCTGCATAGCCAGGCCAAAAATAGAACGAACTGTTAAGTTCTCCTTATGAAGGCTAATATAACAATAAAGGAAAGGAGGATTCAAGCACTGAATCAGAGTAAGTTGTACTCTGGTTCAAGCACCTCTATCCATGATACTCTACAATTAAAAATGGCTTGACTGTAATAACACTTGTTACTCCCTATCCTTAGAAAAATGTCCAAGATACAATGAAAATAAAGTATCTGAACAAGTAAGTACAACAGGAGCTTATTTGAATCAAATGACTTCATTTCAGTTTTAGACCACGGAAGCCAGTAGCAATATTATAAGTCGTATTAATGGTACAAACAAATGACATCTAAATGTATTCATATTATTATTCCAATTTACCTGTCCCTCTCTCGCTCTTTGCCTGAGGAACTTGCCGGCTTCGATCCTGCACCTTCAATCTCGTTCTGACTGGAGAAGCCTGTACCTAAATTAGTCATATGAATGGGTCCATGCTATGAGCAGAAAAATACAGTGGCATTAGCAAATCTACAACTGCTGTATTGACTTTAGCTCCTTAATGTAACTGTCACGTGCCTCATCTTTCTGATAAATTGCAATAAATTAAACTGCACTACATACTCTTTGGGATTTGGAGTATAGTCAAAAGTAGAAATTTTTTTCTTCTGTAAGACTGGTTTTTGGTAAAACAAAAGTAGTTCTCCTGATAAAATAGTACCAAAGACTATCTCTCTCTACTAGAGATCAAACCCAGGGCCTTGTTCATATCTGACAAGTGCTCTAGCACTGCTACAACCCCCAGCCCTTAATGTGCTTTTTAAACTTTAGTGAATGTCTATGTTTACAATTATGTGAATGCATCAAATCTCTCCATTTCTGACAGGTTTCTGTATTGGGGGGAGCTGGGCTGAGAAAGAAAGTACTACCCCTCTTTTTTTTAAATAAAGGGGCAAAGAGAACACCAAATTGAAAGCCAAGGTTTAAACACTAACCACATATTCACAGATTGTAGTTTTTGGTGAGATATATAGGAAGTAAGAAATTATCAGAGGCTTTCAAGAGTCTGTTACATGAGTTAAGAAAAAGCACAGAATCCTACAGAACTCCATCTAAACATTAGTTACAGGAGACTCTAGGTACAGAGTTTTGTATTTTATCACACTGACCCTAAAGACAAAATCCACCCAAGAGAATCGCTGTTGCTTTAAATTAATCCCTCAAGAATAAAATCCTAATGTAAATAAATTCTAGAAAGCAGAAATCCTAGTACTAGAAAGACTAGTGATATAGATGTGTATTTATCTTTCTTTTAAGGCAGAATATAGTAGGAGGGTAAGATGAAGACAGGAAGATAGGGTATTTTATTTAACCTGGTATCCAAGAAGTCCAGATTCTCGTTCATCTGGCAGCTCCTCTGTGAATCGTCTCTTCTGTGCCTGGGGCTGAGTTGGGAGTGGGGGCTGGGGCTGGGGGCCAGCAGGCAAGGTAGTTTTGACAGGAGTAGCAGGAATAAAAGGACCACTCATCGGACTCTGGGACCAAAACAAACCAAGGAAGAACCCTAAGTTTTTGACTATACAAATACTGAATAAGTAAAGAATGCTTAGAATATACCAATCGTCACTATGTATCATATGAATCTTTGACCTTCAGATCTTTCTCCCACCTATATAATTTGATAACAATTTGGTAACAGTATTACCTACCCTTCCACCTTCACCTTACAGAAACACCAAACTGATAATCCATATGCAATGCTTAGGATTCTCAGGAAAAACCTTTGTGCTTTGGGGCAATTAGGAATAAACATGACCCATTAGCAAAAAATAAAAACTTCAGGCACTTACTTAGTTCAGAAGTCATCAAGCAAGAATTTTCTTATTTAAAGCTCTTTTATTAGCGTAGTTCTTTCAGTGTCATTAATGCTGTGGGCAGTCAACTTCACTTACCACTTCCATGGGTATTATTAAGTCACTATGCTGGGAGCAAATCTCAATTTGTTTTTCTTCTTTTCTTTCCTTTCCTTCCTTCTCTCCCTCCCTCCCTTGCTTCCTTCTTTCCTTTCTCTCTTTCTTCCTCCCTTTCCTTCCTTCCTTCCTTCTTTCTTTTTGAAACAGGTTATCATTATGTAGCCCAGGCTGACCTTAAACTTGCAATCCTCTTGCCTCTGTCTCTAAGTGCTAGAATTACAGAGCTACCACAATGGGCACTGACTAGTTTTAAGAGGTTATTCCAAAAAGGAATATGAGTTGATCAAAACACAGTATATATTATAGAAACGCACTTCTAAAAGGAAAGTTCTATGGGCTGGTGGAATGGCTCAAATAATAGAGTGCCTGCCTAGCAAGTATATGGACTGGAGTTTGAACCCCCACTACCATCAAAGAAAAGAAAAGAAAAAAGAAATAAAAGCTCTATTACTATTGATATCAAGCAACTAACATTTATTGACTGGATCATCTTACTTAATCAGGGCAACCCTTTCAGATTTTATCATCATGCCCATTTTGTATCTAATGAAATCCAAAGCCGAAATAGGTCAAGTTATATCTCAAAATTACACAGCTCAACAAAGGGAGAGCATGATGAACCTTGGCAGAACTCTAACTCCTCAGTTCTTACACATTCAGTCACATTGCTTCCCAGTAACAAAGGGATGAAGCTCAAAGCTGAGAAACTACAAATCTGTCTGAATATAAAAAGTAATTTTGACCTAGGAACTATGAACAGAACTTAGTTCATAAGCTGTTTAGCGTTACAAATTGTGTAACCTTCTTCGGTGCTCACAGCACAGAGGCAAGAAAGCTGGGCAATGGTTTGAGTCTACAGTTCACTCTGGCATGGGTACACTATGATAGAAGTGTCTGCCATAAATCCATTACCATGCTCTCATTACTCTTTCCCTGCCTCTAACAACTATTTGCCAGGGCTGGTTTTGAACGCCAGTCCTCCTGATCTCTGTCTCCTGAGTAGCTAGGATTACAGGTGTGAGCCACTGGTACCTGGCTATTTTCTTACATAATTTAAGAAATCATGAAAGAAACACATCAGCATTTGTAATCCTTAAGTTTGGAAAGTTCTTATGTCTACTAGTTACATCCAAATATGTAATATTCTCCTGTAAGATGAGAACTGCTATCTCAGTCCTAACTACTAAAAGGTGTGCTGCAAGTCAGCCTCCTACTGTTACAATGCAAAGCTGTTGCTGGCAAACTAGGATTCTGGCCTGCCAGTCATTTTGTGAGTTAAGTTTTACTGGAATACAGCCACTCATTCATTTAGGCATTGTCTCAGGCTGCTTTTGTGTTACAAGAATATAACAGAGATTATATGGCCCCAAAAGCCTAAAATATTTACCACCTGGCCCTTTATAGAAATCTAGCAATCAATACTTTAAGCAACTATTTGGTGGAAAGCTTTATGAAACTATAAACTTTGGGACAGTAGTGGGAACACAGAAAAAAGAAGGAAAAAAGTGTTTCACATTGCACTATTTCTGGGAATACTACCCCTTTTCCCAGTTTTTCCTAAATTCAATGATGGCATGTTGCATATCCTGACATCCTACCTGTCCAGTGCTAGCTGGAGGTTGCACTTGTGTTATCGGGTATTGTGTTGGCACAGGTGGGACTCCAGTAGGTAATGCTGGCAAGACTCCAGGTGCCAATGAAACAGCTGGTGGCACTATGCTTGGTATTCCATAGGGAGGTTGAACTGGCTGCTGAGGAGGGGGAACAACAGGGTAACCAGACTGATAGCCATTGGATGGATAATATGGTGGTTGAGGAGGGACACTATTTATAGCAGAGGGTTGTGTATAGCCTGAAGGGGGAAGAAAAAAAGTGTTTAATCAGCTGTAGCAGAATGAGACATTTTAACTGAATATTAAACAATATCTAGGGAAGAAAAATACTAAGGCATGAATGGCTTTCCAAATTACCCAAGATTGAAGAGACGGTTATTAGTGCCCTGGCACAATTAGTCTAGCCTCAACTATCACACCTACCCATAACTATCACTAGTAAAATATTTTCAAACACTTCAAGACATACATACGCACCTGGTAAAGGTACAGCAGTATTAATCTGATTCACAAATCTAGAGTATTCAGCATGAACCTGGAAAAGAGGGGAAAACATATTAATATGATATCCCAATTTACTATGTACATATGTATTAATAATAGTCTGATTATATAATTCTTGTACCAAAGCAAAAATGAATTAAAGTATTTCCACTGATGTTCGATCTACATTTGAATAAGCAGACCAATAAACTATTAAGGCAAGTTTTGGGCCTCAGGAGCATGTACAATCCTAAATCCCCCAAATTAAAGAGTCAATCCTGTGGTACAAAATCATTCAGAAATTAACAGAAATTTAGCAATCAGGAAATTTATAAGTTGCCAGTATAACTGATAAGAATGCATTCATTCATATTTATTGGGTGACATGCCCTCAAGGAGCTTCTAGTTTAATAAAAATTACCTATTTTCTCCAATCTGTTCTAAGCTATAAGCATTCTATTAAGTCTTTGAACTTCTCAAATACAACACTCCAAAAAGGAAGTTACTTAATAGTAAATCAGGTTATGTACAAAAGCAAACTCCAGCTCCCCCCAAAAAACACCTCTTAAAAACCACAGAATAAGCCTGGTACCAGTGGCTCACACCTGTATCCTAGCTACTTTGGGGGCTGAGATCAGGAGGATTGTGGTTCAAGGCCAGTCTGGGCAAAGAGCTCTCCAGACCCCATATCCAAAATAACCAGAGCAAAATGGCCTAGAGTTGTGCAGTGAACACCTGCCTTGCAAGCGAGAAGCCCTGAGTTCAAACCCCAGTACCACCAAAAAAACAAAAATACAAGGTTGAACATATTCAACCCCATAAAAGCAGTCCTGTGGCTTCAACTTTTAGTCATTTGTTTGTAGAATAAAAAGAATGCAGCTAACAATCCCAGTTACTTGGAAGATCGAGGCAAGAGGATTATGAGTTGGAAATCAGTAAAGATCTGTTATAGTGGTATTCTATACTATACATGAGCCAAAGAATGCCAGTACAACCACCGGAAACAAGGACAGAAGTATGAGTTGGTTTGTTACTCAAAGACTCCAGCTGGGCACCGGTGGCTCATGCCTGTAATCTTAGTTACTTAGGAGGCAGAGATAGATCAGGAGGATTGTGGTTCAAAGCCAGCCTGGGCAGATAGTTTGCAAGACCCTATCTCAAAAAAAAACCATCACAAAAAAATAAGAGGGCTGGTGGAGTGATTCAAGGTGAAGGCCCTGAGTTCAAACCCCCTGTACTACAAAAAAAAAAAAAAAAAAAGACTCCAGAAGGAGGTGGGTGCACATATGTAATTCCAGCTACTTCGGAAGCTGAGGTAGGAGGAATATGTTTGAGGGTAGCCTTGGTAACTTAGTGAGATCTTTATTTTGTCTAAAAATAAAGTGAAAAGAGGTAGAGATGTAGCTCAGTGGTGGAGCACCTGTTTAGTATACATGAGACCCTAGAGTTAATCCCCAGTATAGCAAAAAAAAACCCAAACCAAACCAAAACACACACACATATGTAACTCACTGTTTGCAAAAGATTCTCACAGAGCTTCTTGGCAGCAGCCAGGCCTTCTGGTTTGGGATGACTGGAAAAAAATATGAACCATGAATCAAAAGGAGAGAAAAATAAAGAACTTTACTTTCACTTTTCATGCTGTTTTATATATTTACTTCGGTATGTTTATTGTAGTTCAAATATAGGCCCTGAAAAGTCATAAAATGGGAACATGACATCATATGAGACTTTTTTTTTTTGGAAGGTATTGGGGTTTGAACTCAGGGCCTTACACCTTGAACCACGTACCAGCCTCTTTTTTTTTGTGATGGATTTTTCTTTCAAGATAGGGTCTCAAGAACTATTTCTCAGGCTGGCTTCGAACCACAATCCTCCTGATCTCTGCCTCCTGAGTAGCTAGAATTACAGATATGAGCCACCTGAGAGCAGCTCATTTAAGACTTTTAAGACATAACTAGCACCATCACTGTAAGTATTTATTGATCTCTATCTCTGGGTAATGGTGCTTCTTGACATAAAAACATCTGAAAGTCATAAAATGTACAAATATCACCATAGGTTTAAATGAAAGTTATTTTATGCTTATTACAACTCATTTTATAATCACAGATATAAAACTAAGGACTTAAATACTAAAACACAATGGAATCTCCTAACTCAGCCATTTTTATTAATTACAAAGCAATTATTCCTAGTGTTTACCTAAACCTATTTTTTTCTCTTGTTCCTTCTGAACCACAATGCAACCTGTACTGAGAAACTGTCAAGGATTCAAATGTCCTCTGCCTCAGCCATCCATACCTGATGTAAATATACATAGGTTCAAAAGCTTCTCGACCTGATGCTGGCTCAATGCAGCCTGAACCTTTGCCCCGCAGGAAGACTTTGGCACCTGTTTCAATCTGAATGTGCTGCAAATAGGAGCACCCTGGACCTTCCACCTTCTCCTTAACATTAAATGTGGGCACGGCATGTTCTAGACCCACAAACAATTTGTCTTGAACATAATGCATCTATAGGAAAAGAAAATAGATTAAACAGAGAATGAACAAGTAAATCCTAATCTTATAGAAAATTATTATACAAAATAAAGTTTTTTGGGTAGTACGTGGATTTGATTTGAGCTCAGCGCTCACACTTGCTAGGCAGGTGCTCTACCACTTGATCTGCAGCCCCAACCAGTTTTATTTTTTATTTTTTGCCCTTGACTGAATTCCTCTTACCTCTGGCCTCCTGCATAGCTGGCACTATAGGCATGCACCAACACCTCAGGCTTATTTGTTGAGATAGGGTCTCACTAACTTTTTGCCAGACTGGTCTCAAGTTAAGATCCTCCCAATTTCTGCCTCCTGAGTAGCTGGGATTACAGCTGTGACCCACTATATCTGGCCTTATACACAAAATAATCCGCCAGATATATTTTGATCACTTCTATAAGGATTCCCTATGATTTCTATCATCAACCCTATCAAGGAACTTAATTTTCTTTTTTTTTAAGACAGGGACTCATATAGCCAAGGTGGCCTTAAACCTACAATCTTGATTACAGGCTTGTGCTACCACACCCAACTTTCAAAGGAACTTTAATAACCTCAGTGGTAGAGTACTTGGCTAGCATGTGCAAGGCCCCAGATTTGATCCCCAGAATCACAAATACAAAAAACAAAACCCTTGTATGTTCGTGTACCTATGTTACCAACAAAATAAACCCCTCATTCTGTTCAGCAAAAGACGTTTAAAAGACACAAAACCTAGAGCCAAAATTGAGTTAAGCATACCTATTTCTTTCCAACTGATTTAAGTTAAATAAAAAATTATAGCAAAGACAGTATGCTACAAAATTGGAGTAGAATGTTGGGCAGAACAGTCAGCCCTGCAGTTTTCTCTAATAAGGGCTGCTCTCTCCAACCCTTTTTTCTAGGAGGAGTGTATCAGCAAAGTCTTGCTTCATCAGACTCAGCCTTCTTGGTCCTCCAGTTGCCATCACGTTCACAAATACAGGTAGGTGGGAGGAGGGAGAATGACATAGGGGATAAACCTAAGCTATACTGTAAGCACATATGAGAATTTCACAATGTATCCTACTGCACAACTATTGTTAACAATAAAAAAGTTTACAAATATAAATTAAAATCACTACCTTATCATTGTACAATGTGTATACTCCCTGAATCATTAATTCTCTTCATAGACCATATCAGCATGAAGATATGTGTGCTCAAATATTTGTTAAATATTAAAAACCTAGATAGCCTTTTAATATGCCAACAGCAGGTAAATCTCAGGTTAGAATCTCAGGTTGTTTTCTTCTTCATATGTATTATTCAGTACAGATCATTTTTTAGAGATAACAATCTCTTGCCAAAACATACCCCTGATTGGAAAGGAGGCTTCTGGCTAACTGCTGGAGACAGCTGAGTGATGGGTGCTGGTTGGTGATAGACAGTGACTGTTGCACCATTAAAAGTTGGACTTGTCCCTGTCGCAGCCTTTACCACCCCATTGGTGATAATTTCTTTGATTCGGTTTACAGCTCCTAGGGAAAAACATATACAATAAGACATTATTAACAAATAAGTGAATGAACTGACTGGTGCTCAAAGAAAAAGGCCAATATTCAATTACTCAAGCATCGATTTGTTTTTTAGGTTACCCAAATATGTGGCTGCCCTCCTCTCTAAAACTCCCTTATTCACTGGTGAGTAAGTCATAAACAGGAGTTACAGCAGCCCTCAGGGACAGTTTGCCATTTGTTAGCCACAGCCCAGAAGTGAAATATGAGCCCAAAACATTACTTACTGTCCACTAATTCCCGTGTCTGGCCCTGAACATGAAGATACAATGGACGATCCCTAGAAAGAGAAATACCAAAGGCTGATCCCAACTGGTCAAATGGGACACCAAGGAGTCAAAATGGGACACCAAATTTTATTTGTAGTGTTTAAGGTTTCCAAATAAGAAAAAAGGGCTATTGCTTGTTAGTTTTTAAGAACACAGTTTTACAATTTTTCTTGTTGTTAACAGTTCACTGGCACCAGGCATGGTGGTACATGCCTGTAATCCCACCTATTGGGGAGGCTGAGGCAAGAGTATGGCAAGTTTAAGACCAGTTTTAATGAAGCACTATTTCAAAATAAAAAATAGTGAAAGGGCTGGGGATGTATCTTGGTGGTGTAATGCTTACCTAGCATGCACAAGACCCTTGGTTTGAACCCCAGTACCGCAAAAAAGGTTAAAACAGAAAAAAAAAAAAAAAAAAAAAGATTGCATTTTCTGAGTAGCTGCCAGCTGCCTGTAAAGAGAAGCTAAAACAGAAAAAAATGAGATTAACCAGATAACCTAAAGTCTATCATCTATCATCAAAGACAATAAAAGGATTAAAAAAAAAAAAAAATGCTGGGAGTGGTTGCATGTGCCCATCATACCAGCTACTCAGAAAGCCTAAATACCAGGATCCGAGTCCAGGCCAGTCCAGGCATAAAGGTGAGACCCTACTTGAAAAATAACAAAAGTGGGCTGGGGGTGAAGCTCAAGTAGTAGAGTCCTTGCTCAGCAAGCATATGGCCCTAAGTTCAACCTCAGTTCAGTCAAAAAGAAAGAAAGAAAGGATGGAAAATAAAAAAAGCAAAAAGGAGCTGTGGTTCAAGCGGTAGAGCACCTGCCTGGCAAGCCTAAGACCCTAAGTTCAAACTCCAGCACTGCGCTGCTCCCAAAAAGAATCTTTTAAAGGGCGGTGGCTGGACTATAGCTCAGTGGTAGAGCCTATATTTATCATGGGTTCAATTCCCAGTTGGGATGTGTATGCACATATGTGTACATGGGGGGAGGGGCTTTACAACAAAATAGAAGCCTATTTGTCAAGGGGACTATTTCTATAGGAAAGAAGTTTAGGAGTATATGTTATATGTTAACAATGATTACCTTCTTCTATGCTCTCTTATAATTTGTTTCCTCCAATAAAACAAAATTGCAAAATAAAACTCAGACAGGAAAAAAAGAGCTGCCACCATCTCTCATACATATTTGAGATGGTCAAGTCTAGAAACAAGTATGTACACACATCCCTCAAACTATTAACCAATTGTTATTTACACATATTACCTAAGAAGGAAAAATATGAACCCAATCCTTCCAAAACCACAGGATAAAAATACACACCCTGGTCCCACTTTAGCCTTCTCCTCAGTTGTCATGAACCTTCCTCGAGTTGACACAGCAGCCCCACTAAGTCGGCTGATCTAAAAGAGGAAACAGTCATTAAAAAGATGACATGTAAGTATCAAAACATCACATCATACCCCATAAATACTATTATATGATTAACACTGTTTTAAAAAAGATAGAGCAATGAGTGGATTTCAAAGGCAGATGCAAAGACAGATTTTTTCCTACTCATTTATTCCTCCAAGTAATAGAAGAATGGATTCTCTCCTATATCTGAAATTTTGATTTCATCAAGCCAACCTAGATAAATCACCTGTATTGGTTTGTCTTTCTCTGCAGTTAAACCCAATCCTGATTCTGAAGATTATAACCCAAACCACTCATAAATACTTGATTCCTAGCTTGTATTCAGAGGTGTCTCTGAATTCACTCTTCACCTTCCCCAAAGAGTACCAACTCTTCCATACCTCATCTTGAGTCTGTCCTCGAGTCAGCAAGTTCCTACATGTGAGCGGTACATCATTGATTTCTACTTCAGCTACCACCAGATCATCCTTGCTTTTATTGCTAGTTAGGCCTTTGCCAGGGGCCTGCAGCTGCCAAAAGAGAAAGAAATTAGATTAAAAAGTTTATGATAAGCTGGGCACCAGTAAGCGGAGATCAAAAGGATCATGGTTCATGGGTCAAAGCCAGCCTGGGCAAATAGTTCGAGAGACCCTATCTCAAAAAAAACTCATCACAAAAAAGGGCTGGTGAAGTGGTTCAAGGTGTTGGCCCTGAGTTCAAACCCCAATACTGCAAAAAAAAAAAAAAAAGTTTCTTTTTTTGCAATACTAGGAATTTATGATAAAATCTTTTAATTATCCAGTTTAGAACTATCATCCCAAGTTCCACCATCTCCCTCTTTCTCTTTGCAAATCAGCAAAAACATTTTTATTTGATCATTCTTTTTGGGGTTTTTTTGGGCAGGCAAGTACTGTACTGCTGAGCTCCATCTACAACCTAGGTATTTTGAGACAGGATCTCACTATGTAGCTCAGGTTGGCTTTAAATGCGCTGTGTTGCCCAGGCTGGCCTCCCATGTGCTGGAATTACAGGTGTGTACCACCTAATCCTATTTAGTCATTGTTCATAAGTGAAATAAAAAGGAAACAAGGGCTGGTGGAATGGCTTAAGTGGTAGAATGCCTCCAACTTAGCCCCAGTACTGCTAAAAACAAAAACAAAAACAAAAACCCTCACTTAAAACATACCAAGTGAAATGAACCAAGCCTTGTATGCACATATGAATATTAAAAGAAAAAAAAAAAACAAAACCAAGTACTGTCAATTTATAAAGCCATCAATCAGCTTTCTTTATAACTTTGTTATAATGCACATTTATGCACTGTTTTTGTTTTGTTTGTTTTTTTCTAAAGTAGGGACTTGCTATGGAGCCTAAATTAGCCTCCAATTCAGTCCTCCTTCCTCCTGAGTACTGGGATTATAAGCATGGGCCACAATGCCCAGATGCAACCTCCAAAAGGAAAAGTTAAGGCCCAAATTATGATGCTTTATAGCTCAATTTGCTAACTATATGTAGTAAGATATAATAGAGATACATAACCCATACATCTCATTCATGCAAATAAAAAGTTGCCTTTGAGCAGCTATAGACATAGTATATCAAATTCAATTAATTCTGTCCTTGCAATGGTCTCAAAAACACTTAAATTATATGTAATCATTCCACCACTCTATTATGAAGGAAGAATGGATGAAAAGCCACTAAAACCCTAAAGCCTGATCTGAGTTCAACTTAAGAAACTCTAAGCAATTTCAGACAGCTAAATTTGAGCATTATCTAGACTAATGCTCAACTAATGTGTAGCAAACAAGCTCTAGAAGGTAAAATAGTCTGAGTGTTAGATAGATTCATTTGAACCTTATAACCACCTTTCAAGGTACCTATCCATGTTGTCCACTACAATGGCCTTTTATGTGTTCTATATGTGAGCATTCTAGTATGGTTATCATTAGCCACATGTGTCTTCTGAACATTAGAAATGTGGATTAGGTGAATGAAGAACTGAATTTTAAATTGTACATAATTTAAATATAAAAACCATGTGTCTGGTGACTACTGGACAGTGCAGGAACTAGTTACTGGAGATGTGGAGTTTCAAACCCAGATACTATGATTCCAAATCCAGTATTTTCTATATTGAATTTTCAGTTCACTTGCAGTTCTCACCAATTCTATAAAACTTTAATACTTAAGTTTCTGGACAGGTATGGCCTTCTATTGATAAAACACTCCACAGAACTAGAAAGCTCACAAATTATTGCATTTTCAAACACTGACCCTACCTCTTCATAGGTACTACAGGAGACAAATTTTAATTTAAGTAAAAAAATGTTTTCAATTGTTAATTACCATGGACTTAGACTTATATTGGAACACAATTCTGGAAGCTTTTAGCAAAAGCTAAATACCCAATTACCTGAGGTGACGGAAGTCAGATACCTGTGCCTGCCCCTCACAGACCTTGAATAAATTACTTTGCCTAATTTTTTTCTCAAGTTAACTAGTAACAATTTCTTCCATAGAACTGTTACACTTTTAAAAAATTACAACATGTAGCAGGGCGCTGGTGGCTCACACCTGTAATCCTAGCTACTCAGGAGGCAGACATCATGAGGACTGCAGTTTCAAGCCAGCCCAGGCAAACAGTTTGCAAGGCCCAAGCTCAAAAAACCCTTCACAAAAAAGGGCTGGTGGAGTGGCTCAAAGTGAAGGCCCCCAAGTTCAAGCCCCAGTACTGCAAAAAACAAAACAAAATTACAACATGAATTTTAGCAATATTAACAATCACTACCATTATTATCCTGTAGGAAGATTACTACACACTATGGCAAAGTATAAGACTTCAATCAGTCCTTTCTAGTTATGAGATCCTATTTATACTGAGAATTTTATAAAATAACATCCTCAATTTGTATGGAAACAGCAAAATAACCCAAACATAAATTGTTCTTTCAATTTAGTTCATGCTTAATTGCATTTAGTCATTAAAGTAAGTATCTACAGATTCTAATTAGATATGTTACTTTAAAGCTCACTTGATTTGCCTGAACATCTCTTAAAAACAAATTACAGGGATGGGAATAAAGTGGTAGAGCACCTATCTAGAAAGACCCAAGGCCATGAGTTCAAACACCAATACTGCCCCCTTCCCCCCCAAAAAAAATTGCATTAAATGACTGTACATGGACAAAACAAACTATTTAGTCCCTAAGTGAACCAGCCCAATCGGAACTGCCTCATAAAAATATATTTATGGAACTGGAGGTGTGCAGTAGAGCACTTGCTTTGCAAGTGTGAAACCCTGAGTTCAAATCCCAGTACTACCAAAAAAATCCTACTTATTATGTTCCAAAACTAAATGATCTTTAAATTACTGTACCAGTTTTATCCTTCATTAACAAATGCTACTACAACCACAATTAGCTGGGACTCTTCAACTTTGAATACCTTCTCAGCAGCATTCTGAGTTGGTTTCAGCTTCCCTTTGGCCATAAGCATGGCATTGATCTTGGCAGCCACAGCAGCAGCGGCATCCAAGGCTCCTGAGGGCGCAGCCGCAGCTCCCCCAGGGTTTCCCCCACTGTTGCTGACCTCCCCACCTGGGGCCGCTGGCGGGAGAAAGAGAAGGGGGGCTGGAGCTGGTTGGTCCCATTTGCTGCGGCGCCTACAGGTAGGAAAAGGAAAACAGGCCCTAAAGCTTTCTTTTATTATTCTTCCCTTAGCAACTCCATTTCCCCTGTCGTGTTACATATTCACCTCTGAATCTCCTTCCACGCTTAGAATTCCTACCTCTCCTTAAACAATTACAGAGACATTTCCCCAAATTCCCACTTTCAACCCGTTCCCCCAATCTACCTTCCTTCTCCGTCACCTCCATCAAATGACCACTCGGTCCCGCTTGCTCTGGTTTTTGCCTTCTCATTGGCTCGCCCTTCTATAAGTCCCTGGTTCCCTCCTCCCTCAGATCCTCGCCACTCTTTTCCAGGGGCCCGAGGCCTGCTGGACATCCTTCTCTCCGCTGAGGCCGGCCTTCCAGTAGGTACACTTCCTGTGGATGGCCTTCCTCCATCCACACACAGCCTCCCGTGCTCCTGCGCCTCTCGCATGCCCCTGGGCTCTCTCTGTTATGCTGCCCTAGCTGGCGAAGCCTTACCCGCCAGCTCCTGGATGTGTCGCGCTCCCCGCGGACATGGCGACCGGCTCTCTACTCCACCATCCGCCAACTACCTCACTACCACCTTCCCGTCACTTCCGCCCTCAACGCCCTTACGCACAGCCTCTTCCGGTCGTGAGGCAAAGCGGTTCCGGTGAAAATTTCGATTCCGATTGGACTCTCGGTGATTTAAAGGCGTCTGGCAGTTGTGGGCTAAGGAAAAGGGGTGACTTTCCGGCTTGTTTCCTGCCCTTAAGAAAAATGGCTGCTATAGCTAATTTAAAAGTGGAATCAGTGCTAGAGGATGCCATCTTAATTGTGGGCAAGTTGGTGGAGTAGAAGACAATACGCATGAGTCGGGCAGTTATACAGGTTTTCCCAATTTCCCATTTGTGTGGCATCCCAGCCTCTGGCAGGAAAGAAAATATTCCCGCCGCTTTTGCCCACTTCACGTTTCAGTTATCTCTTTAGGAGAGGGAAATGATTCGTTTCAAAGGTCATTTAAAGAATTTCTCTGGTTTTATTGTTGTTTTGTTTTTTCATTTCTGCGAACCTGGCAGGCGCCGCAGATCCTGCTGTTGTACTCTCAGCGAAGCCTGGTAGGCACGTGGGCAGCTACAAATAAGGTTATGTAATAAAGTTAAAGAAGAAAACTTGCTTAACTTGGTGGGCTTTAAAGAAACGCAAGCTCGCCGAGCAACGCTGGGTAATCCTAGCTACTCAGGAGGCTGCGAGCAGTAGGATCGTGGTTCGAAGCCAGCCTAGGCAAATAGTTTGCGAGACTCTATCTCGAAAAACCCATCACAAAAAAATTGGGCTGGCTCAAGGTGAAAGCCCTGAGTTCAAGCCCCAGTACCACAAAAAAAAAAAGAAGAAAGAAAAAACAGAAACGCAGCTGAACCCGCCTGTTGAGGGCAGAAGAGGGGAGGAGTTGAAGAGTAGGTTGTGAAGCTCCCTGTGCTGGGGCCGGCGGAAGAGTGCGGCCCAGGTAGAGGTTTCCAACACTGGGATCCTGGACATGCAAGAAGTCTCCAGATCGAGAAAATACAATCGAATGCTGTTCTTCAGAGATGTTTGCATCCAGATACGATTAATAGAGTACAAATTCATTTAAAAGCCAGAAGTGTTTTCTCTTCAGCATTTAATAAAACGCCACCTTTATATCAAATAGCACACATGCTATTTCTGAATTCTTTTTCTATTTCATTTACTTTTTTGTCGATCTGCTATACTGTGTTTATTACAACAACAATGTATGTTTTAATGTATTAGAATTCCTCTATTCCCTTGCCGATTCTGACTGGGGTATTTTTCCAAATACATTTTGGATTAAATATTGTTTTCTTTTGGAATTACATTGTGTGTAGTTTTTCCTTTTTTAAAGCACTGAGATCAAATTCTTATGTCATAAAATTCATCTTTTTTACGTTTATTTTTTGCAGTGCTGGGGGAAGAGGATTGAGTGTACAATTCAGTGGGGCTTATTTTTCTTTTTTTTTTCTGTACTGGGATTTAACGCAGAGACTAAGCATTTATGAACTGTACCACGTAAGCCACGCCCCTTCCCCTTTTGTATTTGAGATAGGGTCCCAACCAACTGGGCTGGCCTGAAAATTATGGTCCTCCTGCCTCCTTTTCCCAAATAGCTAAGATTACAGACCTGCACCATCAGACCCACAATTCCGTGTTTTTAGTGTATTTCCAAGGTTGGGCAACCATCACCATGATCTAATTTCAGATAATTTTCTTAAAAAGAAAAGCCTCAGGCATTAGCAATCACTCCAGACACCGGAAACCACTGGGTTTATTATTCCGCACACTTTTTTTTTTTTTTTTGGTACTGGGACTTGAACTCAGGGCCTAAACCTTGAGCCACTCCACTAGCCCTTTTTTGTGATAGGCTTTTTGGAGATGGGGTCTCACGACCTATTTGCCAGGGCTATTCTACACATTTCATATGAACAGAATCACACAAAGTGTGTATGACCTATGTTTGGCTTCTTAGCATATTATTTTCAAAGTTCACCCACGGTGTAGCATATATCAGTACTTCGTTCTTTTGTATTGCTGAATAATCTAGTGGACATATATACACAATTTACCCATTCACCCATCATTGAACATCTAAGTTGTTTCCACTTCTTGGCTATTGTGAACAGAGCTGTTATGAACATTCATATTTTAATGCCTGTGTTTAATTTTTTTTGGCAGTACTGGGATTTGAACTCAGGGTATCATGGTTGTTAGGCAGGCGCTCTAACAATTGAGCCACTATGCTAGCTTTAATTCTTTAGGGTTTACACTTAAAAGTAGAATTGCTGGGTCATATGGTAATTCTCTTTTTTTGTGAGACAAGAGCTTGCTATATAGAACCAGGTTGGCTTCCAATTCTCAATCCTCCCGTGTCAGTACTCTGTAACTCCAGAATACTGGGAGTATATGTGTGTGTTACCATGCCAAGCTTGTTCATAATAGCAGTTCTCTGTTTTGGGTTTGTAGAACTGCCAAAGCAAATGACTGCACCATTTTACATTTCCACCAGCAATGTATAAGGGTTCCTCTTGCTCCATATCCTTGCGTACACTTGTTATTTTCAATTTTTTTTCATTATAGCAACCCTAGTGGGTGTGAAGTGATATCACATTGTGGTTTGTGTGGCTCAGTGATAAAGCACTTACCTAGTGTGCATGAGGCTCTGGGTCACATCCCAGGGTGAAAGAAGAGAGATTGGGGGGGATGAGGGTGATATTTGGCATATCACTGTGATTTTGATGCTACTATGATTATAAACAACTCTAATGGAATACTCCTTCCCCTCTGAAATAAACTTGATCTTACAGTATCATTCTTGAAATTCACTGATGGATTTGATTTGTTGATATTTTGTTTATGAGTTTTGTATCTAACTTCCCAGATGATATTTTGCTACTTTATAAAATCAAGTTGAGCTGGGCACCAGTTGCTCGTGCCTGTAATCCTTGCTACTCAGTAGGTAGTGATCAGGAGGATCACAGTTCAAAGCCAGTCCGGGCAAATAGTTCACAAGATCCTATCTCAAAAAAATCCATAAGAAAGGGCTGGTGGAATGGCTCAAGGTATAGGCCTATCTTGAAAATACCCATCACCAAAAAGGGACTGGTAGAGTGGCTCAAGGTGTAGGCCCTGAGTTCAAACCCCAGCACAACAAATAAATAAATAAAATCAAGTTGAGGAGCTGGGCACAGTAGCTCAGGCCTATAATCCTAGCTACTCAGGAGGCAGAGATTGGGAGGATTACGGTTCAATGCTAGCCTGGGCAAATAGTTATTGAGACCACATCTCAACCAATAAAATGCTGGGTGTGATGGTACATGCATGTCATCCACCACAGAGACACAGGAGTATAAATAGGAGGATCAGAGTCTAGGCTGGCCCAGGCATAAAAGTGAGACCCTGTTCAAAAATTAACTAAAGCAAAAGGGCTGGGGATGTGGCTCATGTGCTAAAGCACTTGCTTAGCAAGTGCAAATTCCGGAGTTCAAACCCCAGTAGTATAAAAATAATAATAATAGAAAAATAAATCAAGTTGTGGACTTATGCTAGCTTTGAAAAATTAATTGGCAACCTTTTTTTCTGTTTTACTTTGAATAATTTAGAAATTATTGTTTCTTTGAAGGTTAGATTGAACTTGCATATAAAATCTGTGTTTGGCCACGTTAAGATTCCACCTTACCCCTGTTAGAATAGCCATCATCAGCAACACCACCAACAACAGGTGTTGGCGAGGATGTGAGGGAAAAAGGAACCCTCTTACACTATTGGTGGGGATGTAGACTAGTACAACCACTCTGGAAAAAAATTTGGAGGCTACTTAAAAAGCTAGACATCGATCTACCATTTGATCCAGCAATACCACTCTTGGGGATATACCCAAAAGACTGTGACACAGGTTACTCCAGAGGCACCTGCACACCCATGTTTATTGCGGCACTATTCACAATAGCCAAGTTATGGAAACAGCCAAGATGCCCCACCACTGACGAATGGATTAAGAAAATGTGGTATCTATACACAATGGAATTTTATGCAGCCATGAAGAAGAACGAAATGTTATCATTCGCTGGTAAGTGGATGGAATTGGAGAACATCATTCTGAGTGAGGTTAGCCTGGCCCAAAAGACCAAAAATCGTATGTTCTCCCTCATATGTGGACATTAGATCAAGGGCAAACACAACAATGGGATTAGACTATGAGCACATGATAAAAGCGAGAGCACACAAGGGAGGGGTGAGGATAGGTAAGACACCTAAAAAATTATCTAGCATTTGTTGCCCTTAACGCAGAGAAACTAAATCAGATACCTTAAATGCAACTGAGGCCAATAGGAAAAGGGGAACAGGTACTAGAGAAAAGGTTAGATCAAAAAGAATTAACCTAGAAGGTAACACCCACACACAGGAAATCAATGTGAGTCAACCCCCTGAATAGCTATCCTTACCTCAACCAGCAAAAACCCTTGTCCCTTCCTGTTATTGCTTATACTCTCTCTACAACAAAATTAGAAATAAGGGCAAAATAGTTTCTGCTGGGTATTGAGGCGGTGGGGGGGAGAGGGAGGGGGTGGAGTGGGTGGTAAGGGAGGGGGTGGAGTGGGTGGTAAGGGAGGGGGTGGGGGCAGGGGGGAGAAATGAACCAAGCCTTGTATGCACATATGAATAATAAGGAAAAAAAAAGTAAAAAAAATAAAATACACACATGAGCCAAAAAAGAAAAAAAATAAATAAAATAAAATCTGTGTTTGGAAGCTTTTCAGTGATACTTGAAAACCTTTTCGATTTTGTTTGGTTATTCGTCTGTTCAGAATTTTTCTTTTTAATTGAGATAGGTCTCACTGTGTAATCCAGATTGAGCTTGAACTCACTACCTCCTGCCTCAAGCCTCTACATTCATGAGATTAGAAATGTATACTACCACATCCAGCTTTTTTTAATGAACTTTAATTATCTAAATTTTCCTTTAAAAATCATCCATTTTACCTGAAATTTAAGATACTTTGCATGAAATTTCACCAAAAAATCTCTTATTCTTTCTCATTTATATGACTTTCTCTTCTCTCTCTTTTTTTCCTCT